TGTGAATCATACCTTTGGCAAAAAAAAAAAAAAAAAAAAAAAAAGGAAATATGGAAGAAACCATAAAAACTTCTTTAATTTGGTTTCTAAAAAATTCTTCTTTGGCGTAAGCTTATGTTTATAACAGAGATCCCTTTCAGGAAGACACATAATTACCAGAGATAGTTCAGAAAAGCTGCAGGTTATTTACTGTTATGTGTCATGATTATCTTGGACTACAATTTAGGGTCCTGCTTTTTAAACTAAACATATTCTAAGTACTATCCACGTTATCATGTAATCCCAATAATTTTTATGGTTGCATCACGATTTATTGAAAGAAATGTCACAGTTTATCTATGGATTGCTTTCAGTTTTTCCACTGTTATAAACAACTGAGCAGATGCCTTCTGGATTTCTTCCATATTGTGTACTATTTCTTTAAGATGGACTTCAAGTGATCTCTTATAAAGATGATGAATGTGCTTTAGGCCAGGGCTTCTCAGACTGTAGCGTGTACACAGACCACTTGGGGATATTATGGAATGCAGATTTTAACTCAGTAGGTCTAGGACAGGCCTCAAAGTCTGCATTTGTAATCAACTCCCATGTGATGCCAGAGTTTGGACATTCCCTTAAAACTGTTAGTGTACCGACTTTTAAGATCTATTTAAATAAATCTCTATGTGGGCTGGTTTCCTAGGAGCTCTGACCCCTGAGGAGTAGTTTCTAATCGAGAGGAAAGTTTTGATTAAGTTGATATCCAGGAAAGGTGGGGGGCTGTAGTACCTGTCTTCCATGAAGACTCCTAAGCTCAATTATGGCTGCTTTAGAATCACCTGGGAAGTTTATTTCCTTGCACATGTGTGTGCACGTGCACACACACACACACACAAACATGCACTTGTGTGCACCAGGGCCCACTCCAGACTGCTACAAACAGAATGTCTGTCAATGGGATCTAGCTACCAGTATTTTTTTTTGGGGGGGGGCGGGGAGGAGAAGTAATTTGCTATAGGGTGCGTGCGCTCGCCAGAAAGACAGAGAGAGACAGAGAGATAGAAAGCAAGAAGTCACCCCCCCAGGGGGGATGGCCACACTGCAATCCCTTCTCCTCCATTATCCTCTCGGGATCCTGGGCATGCACGCACACATGCCCGGCGTGAATTTAAGCCACCAGGTCTGGGACTCGAGCCATGGTCGACTACATGGGAGTTCAACAACATAGCCATTACGCTAACTGCTGGTCCCCCAGTATTTTTTTAAAGCTCCCCAGATATTAAAGGAGACTCCATGTGTAGTCAGAGTTGAGGACCATTGTTCTGAGCCCATAGAGACAGATCCATCATAAATCTCACTGAGTTCCAACTCTGCTATACCTGATCAGATGTAAAGCACAGAGCTTATATAGGCTACACGGAACCTCCATGCTTTTCTTGTTTGTTTGTTTTTTGTATAGGACACATGCATTCCCCAGAGAGACAGTGGGAGGGAAAGTCAGAAATAATCCCCCAATGGGGATGGCCACGCTGCAATCCCTTCTCCTCCATTCTCCTCTCGAGATCTTGGGCACGCACGCACATGCACCCGGCGTGAGTTTAAGCCACCGGGTCCAGGACTTGAACCTCAGTCAACTACATGGGAGTCCAGCAACATAGCCATTACACTAACTGCAATCCTAGCAACCTTTATTTCTAAGAGAAAGCAAGGTATTTGTCATCACTGGCTTCTCTGTCAAGTCCACTCCTTTGTAGCATTTGCTGGTCCCTTGTTACAGTAAATGCCACCATTGCCCACTGCAATTGCTCTCCTAAGCCAAAATACTGGAGCTCATCTTCCCTCATACTTCAAATATAAGCCATTCTCAGTCTTTTGTTCTATATGTACTTTTTTCTAAAATTACATTATCTTAAAATTATTTATTAGCATGGCCATGTCTTTAACTAGGCAGTGAACTTTTTGGGAATAAAAATAGTGTCTGGTGAATCTTTTGTTCCCCACATCTGGCAGAATGCCTGTCTAGTACACACAGATACCCATTAAATCATTGAATGAATGAATGAATGAATGAATGATTGAAATAGAGTAAGTTTCAGTCACACACAAGCCTGGAAGATCAATCTCAAGCTGCATGTTTCATACCAGCATGGTTCCAGCAAGAGCACAGATTGCCTAGATGGTGCCTGGTGCCAACATGGCCTTGGCCCCCGGGGTATGCAAGATGGCAGAGACAGGATGCCCAGGATGTCATGAGTCCCTGTCACTCACCACCTGCTAGAGTAAAATCTCCTGTTTCTCTTTGGCAGTTGCCTTTTCGGGCCTCGGCTTCACAACGTTCTACTTGGCTGGCAAGCTGCACTGCTTCACTGAGAGTGGGCGGGGGAAGAGCTGGCGGCTCTGTGCTGCCATTTTGCCCTTGTACTGCGCCATGATGATCGCCTTGTCCCGCATGTGCGACTACAAGCATCACTGGCAAGGTGAGTCCCTGCCCAGGGCCTGCCCAGTCCTCATGGTGTCCTACCCCTCGTCTCCAGGCCCAGGTATAAAAATGCACTGATTTGGGGAAAACAAGGTGCCTATTGTCAGAAACCAGAGTATGCTGAAATAACAGCAGATAAGGTTGAAGCAAATATCCCTGTTCAAGTGAATTCTGGTCTTTATGGTGCCCTTGCTGTGGGAGAGAATGGCAGCTCTTCATCCTTCATGCTCAAGGAGACCTTGCTTCAGTCCTGCCAGGATGTCAGGCCCCTCAGTTTCAGAGTCACCCTGGGCCTCAGCACCAAATGTGGTTTTTCTGTTAGATCCCTTGTTGCCAAGTGGATTTTGGCCCCTTTCTCATATCAAATCCTTCATACAAGGACAGATTTCTCATTAGTGCTTCTCCAATAACTGTGTCCAGCCCAAGAATCGATTCCAGCAACATTATGAGCCACAACTACAGGACTGGATTAAGGTTTACCTTGCATATCAGCTCTGGAATGTTTGTTAAAAATCAAAAGGACACAGAAACACGTGAGGGGTTTCTTTTTATAATACAACTAAGCCATACTATGTCCCTCTGCTGATAAACTGCAGCTTGAAATCTTCCTGAAAAACAACCATCACCTGCAATGGCAAGCGGGGAGCCAAGACAGAGGTCTTATCCTCAGGAACTTGGCCTCCAGGAGCAGCAGGGTCTAGGACAGGGTTTCCCAAAGGTCAATCCTCAGATCACCTTGATTAGGCCACTCTGTGCTAGGAATTGGACAGTCTATGTTGGGTCTAGAGTGGTGACTAGGAATCTTTATGATGAATAATCAAGCCCATCATTTCTGATGGCCTGAGAAGCACTGAGAACTCCACTGTATGTGTCAACTTTAAACAAACCAAATTAAATGTGCCCAAATCCAGCTTCCCTGGATGAATGGCCTTCTACAATCAGTTTGCCTTCTGAACTTCTTCTTCCTTTCCTCCTGCTGCTACCAGGAGCTGTTCCCTCCCTTCTGCCTTTTTGTCTTTGCAGCCAGTTGTGTTGTGAAACTTCCCTCTTCTCACCTCTTCTGGGGGGTTGTTCCAGTGGTAATGAGGCAGCAGATGAGGCCAATGGGGAAGGGAGCTCCTAGCTCAGGGCAGTCTTCCCCCATCTTCTCTAGGGGTCCCTGTATCCCTTCTAGCACTGCCCCAGCTTCTCCTGCTTCTTCACCAACCTTAGCACCATCCTTTATCCTCTTGGGAATCCTGGTCTGGGTGTCATGTGCTTTCAGCAGCACCTTCAAATAGGAGAGTGAAGGGTTTGGGAAGAGAGATGCTGAAATGTGGTGTAGACAGGGAGAGGCATCAAGGACCTCATCAAGGTCCAGGTCAGTAGAGAGTCACAGGACTGGGACCTGAATCCTTTTTTGTTCTGTTTTTATCATAAAATTGGATGAAGTTCTAGATAATATGACGTTGTATTATTAGAGAGAGGAAGGAGGAAGGGAGAGTCACTGAGCCTACAGCAATGTTACACCATGCTCCCTAGGAACTGGGAATATTTTCTCACAGCACCATGTTGCCTATAGTTAGGACATTTTCCCAAGAAGAATATTATGGGCCAAATGACCTTTTATGAACTATTTTTTATTTATCCCATGTTAACTGCAGGCTCTTCTTTGAGCACAAAAACAATAACCCCTAAATATTTTGCAGAGCTGTTTTGTAGATTGAGTGAAATAATGTACCTGAATGTACTTTGTAAATGAAAACATAGTACACAAATGCAAACTGGGGTCAATGTTGCTTAGCTCATTGTTCCTACAGAATGCGTCATAATTCTCAAATAACTGTCTTGGAGGCAGACCTGTTTTGGAACACAATCTTTTTATAAGCTTTGAATACTGAGTTTTTCGCTTTTACTCAGCCACTTTGAATTTGGGCAGTGATGAAGGGTTCCAGAATTGAATAGGGTCTTCCTTATCTTGGAGGTCAGCAAGAACCTTTGCATTATGATCTTGTCCTGACAATCTAAGACATGAGGCTGGCTTCTCTTCAACACTCTCTGGCCCTAACCTGTTTTGTTACTCATCACCTAGATGTAATTGTGTAATGCAACCACAGTGAAAAAACTCAGAATCATAACTCTTGGCTTTAGGGAATGGAGAATCCATGATGCAGTGAACCCAGTCCTCTGGCAACTGGGGCTTCAAAACTGTCCTAACCAACAGGTACAGAAAAGAACTTCAGTAAAGGGAGAATATGCATGGTCTGTGTGTGGGCTCATGGGAAAGCAAGAGAACTCACATTCAGTGATATTTAGGGCCATGTTTGAGGAAAACTAAAATTATGTCATGGTAGATTTATGCAGCCTAAACTGAATGAGCATCAGCTGGTATAGATCCTTGGCATGGCCCGAGTACCAGTTCAGCTCTGCCATTATCTGTTTAATTCATACCTTCAAAGTCAGCCAGGAAAGGAACATGGCTTTCCTTGGATCTTCTAATGGGCTGGGTGTCAGACTCATTTTACTTGAATTCCCCCTCAGGTGGCTATCTGTCGCTGTCTATACCAGCTGCTCTCAACTGGAAGGCGGAGGGGTTGACTGAACCTTCAGGAAACATTTATCAGTGTCTGGAGACATCTTTAAGGATAACACAAATGCATATAGGGAGCGCTATTGGCATCTTGTGGGTAGAGGACTATAGCTGCTACACATCCAGCAATGTACACAATGGCCTCCCACCCCAACAAAGGGGTATCCAGCCCAAATGGCAATACCGCCAAGGCTGAGAAACCTTGGTTTACCATCTACCTTAGCTCCACCTTTCTTTCCTTTGTTACAAATTGGGAAGCAATGACATTGTGGGAGTGGGAAATTTTAGTCATTTAATACTTGGTTATTAAGGAAGGGATCAAAAAGGCCTCAAAGGTTTCCAGCTTGAAGAAAGGATAGTCAATGAGTTCTCCCACTGCTGTGTCGGTGGATATTTGAGGCAAGACACATGATTGAAATAAATAGCTTGTTTGTCTTTGGTGAACTCAGCTGCCCACTGACCGTGGGTGAGGGCCATCCATCATAGTGAACATTCATATAGAACCCCACAGGCATTGGCAAAACCTGAGAGCGTCCCATTATAGATTTTAGTTAACAACATTCCTATTATGAGATTTTATGATGGCATTTCAATTTTGATTTAAGCAACTGTGCCTAATGTGGAAATAGATCCAATCACTCGATTACATATTTATATCCAATAAATAGCTCAAAATCACAAATGGCTTGCTCTGCCCATTATCATGGTTGTTTTCTGTTGTTGACACCTCTTTGTTCTTTTCTGCCTCACCAGCCCACTCCAGATATATGGCTGTTGTTTTATCAAGTGAGGAAAACACAGGCCCTGGCACTGCAAATGGCACATGAAATATTTAGCAGAACTTCCCCAGGAGTAAGACCAGCTGCATCAATAGTAAATCTATGTGGTTGATGTTCTGTCTTTCTGACATGCCGGCTTTTAGGTTAACTGGAAGCTGGGGAGTTTCACCAGTGATGCTACCTGCAAAGCCTAGTACTTCTCAATGAGATTCACCACTGTGACTAACTATGTGATTGGAATACTAGTATTTGTGGAATTCCCAAGCTAGAGAAAATAAATAGAACCAACTTCTTTTTTTTTTTTTTTTTTTTTGAGAGTTTTTGCTATAGAGTGCGTGTGTTCACCAGAAAGACAGAGAGACAGAAAGTGAGAAATCACCCTCCAGGGGGATGGTCACACTGCAATCCCTTCTCCTCCACTCTCCTCTCAGGATCTTGGGCATGCACGCATATGCACCCGGCGTGAGTTGAAGCCACCGGATTCAGGACTCAAACCAGACTATATGGGAGTACAGTGAAGTAGCCATTATGCCATTTGCTGGTCCCAAATAGAACCAACTTCTGCCTCAACTCACACTCTTGTATGTTTATGATTTCCAGCCTGTGTAGAGTCACAGCTGGGATTGGCGAGAGTCACTGGACATGATAATAATTACCCCTTTTCCTCCCTTCATGTCCCTGCATCTGGACCCAGGCTCCTCTCACGTGACCTCAGGTTTGGAGGAAATCTTTAATCAACACTTGTTCTTCCAATCATAGGCCATTTTTGGCAGCACTAGGTGGATGTTTGAGGCAGGAGACATGATTGAAATAACTTGCTTATCTTTGGTGAACTGAGCTGCCCACTGACCATGGACAGATAGCTTCTGCCCAGGCACTTGTGTGGTGCTTACTGTAACAAAGCATCTCCCTCTGGATATATATAAAAAAAAAAAAAAAAAAAAAAAAATTAGTCTCAAGAAAGGAAGCAATCTTTCATTCTCACCTGGACTGAGATAGGAAAGCATTTATGTCAGTCACAGATCCCCTTTTCTGATTCTACTGAAGTTTTCTTTTTTTAAAAAAATCGCTTCATTATTATTTTATACATTGAATTGCTATACATCATTTGGCTTACAAAGAGAATTTACCCAACATGAAATACAACTCAGACCAATTGAGAATACTATATACATTATCGTCAACAGGTAATAATGTTTTATTATTGTGTCCCACAAATGTCTTGTCTCTATTTTTTCTCCCTAATTTCCTTCCCTAGACTCTTGCCCTCTCCCACCCTCCTTCCACACTGTCTCCAGTGTCCATAACTATTTTCAATCCTTTTATGTCCTCCAATCTTTCATGTACTGAGTTTTTCAAGATGGCCACCATCATCTTCACCCCATTTCCCTGAGTAAGCTGAAAAGGGTCTGTGATTTGAAATGAACTCATGTGTTATTATCAAACTTCAGTAGATTATCAACCCTGCAAATGCTAATGTTTAGAGGGTTGGTCACTGTGCTAAATTGTCTCATGGGCCACAAAAGACTCCTAGTCTATAAAAATAGGGAAACAGTGGCTGCTCTCTCTGAAGAAACCCTTTCATAAAGCCTTGGCAGCATTCTGCAATGCCCAACTCTCTCTTGAGTTCTCCTTCTCTTCCCCTACCAT